ATCGCTTTTCCATCACAAATAACATATCGCAACTACATTGCAAAAAAATATCGCTGTTATATCGCAGAGTCCTTATCGCAGCGACGTCGTTGATGAAACTTGAGAGTGACATCCCTCTGACATCGCAGCGACGTCTATGCGACAAAGAATGCGATATCGCAGGTCACAATTGTTACATCGCTGCGATATCTCTGTGATGTTACTGTATTTGCAGGGATGTTGTTTATAAACTTTTTTGTTATTCACTCCAACTTATTTATTTCACTCATTTCTGAGTTATACCGGTTAATAGTAAATGTTTCTTTTATGACAAAAACTGAGACTACGGATGATTTTCACAAGAATGCCATGAATATAAGCTACCATGGCAACCATTGTCATCGCAAATGTTGTCAGAGATATTGTCAAATTAAGCTAATTTCGAGTTGTAACACGAAATTAGTACTAATTTCGAGTTATAACTCGAAATTAACCTAATTTCGAGTTGTAACACGAAATTAGCACTAATTTCGAGTTATAACTCGGAATTAAGCTAATTTCGAGTTGTAACACGAAATCAGTACTAATTTCGAGTTATAACTCGAAATTAAGCTAATTTCGAGTTGTAACACGAAATTAGTACTAATTCCGAGTTATAACTCGAAATTAAGCTAATTTCGAGTTGTAACACGAAATTAGCACTAATTTCGAGTTATAACTCGGAATTAAGCTAATTTCGAGTTGTAACACGAAATCAGTACTAATTTCGAGTTATAACTCGAAATTAAGCTAATTTCGAGTTGTAACACGAAATTAAGAAAAAAAATATCTCATGTCCGTTCTATACGCTTTCGTACCAATGTGATGATAAAAAAACACAAAAATATCGTCCTAAACAAACGGTGGAAATTTTGGAAATCAATGAAAACAAAAAGTTTACTTGAGGGAGTATATCCCTCCCTATTTGGGAAACTGCCACACTATACAGATATACTCATATTTGGGCTGATGAGAACCCACACACAGTTTTTGAATCAAATCACCAAGAAAAATTTTCAATCAATGTATGGGCAGGAATAATCGATAACTATTTGATAGGTCCCTACGTACTGCCTAATCGTTTAAATGGTGAGAGTTATTTACATTTTTTACAACATGTTCTGAGAGATCTCATGGATGATGTACCATATTTACTGAGGTCTGAGATGTGGTTTATGCACGATGGGGCACCGCTACATTTTTGTCGCGCAGTTAGAGAATATTTGAATAATAATTATCCGGAGAGATGGATTGGACGTGGAGGACCTGTGTCTTGGCCTTCTCGTTCACCAGACCTGAATCCCCTCGACTTTTTTTATGGGGTTATTTGAAATCTTTGGTATATGAAGTTCCTGTCGAGAACGTTGCGGAACTCGAGCAGCGTGTGAGGAATGCTTGCGATTTGATAAGAAATAAGCCTGGTATTTTCCAAAGAGTGAGGGATAATATGAGGAAACGAGCAGGAAATGAATGGAGGATACTTTCAACATCTATTATAAAATCAATTATTTTGGGCATTTGTTCTCATGATAGAAAAAGTGGAGTTTGATAATTAAAATTTCTAAATTTGACAGACTTGTTAATTCCTGACGTGAATTCTTTCGTATATCAAAAAGAAAAATAACAGTTTTCTTGAAAACGGTCCGTTTTACGGCATTCCAACAAGAGTACATTCATCCATTTTTCATGAAGAAGTGTTTGGAAAATCATATGCTGGTACTAACTAGCAAGAAGTTACAGTATGAGACAAAAAAAATTAGGACATTTTTATAGCACGGGTTACAAGTTTCGCACCTCCCTGTATATTATATCATTTTTTCCATTCCTTCAAACGATTTACGAGATCAAATTACCTATTGGTACAAGATTTCATGATTCTAGGATCAATGGTAACAAAGATAATTGAAGAAAACTGCATTTAGGGACCAACCTTCAAAGGGCTGTAGCGCCCTTAGCAAGCATTTTCGGACACCTGTTGATAGGAACATTTTTTCTTATTTTTATCTGTAGATCGATTTTCCGGAGTATACGAACGTTATTCTGGGACACTCTGTATAATAAAAAAGTTGATATTTCAATAGTTCAATCTAATAAAAATATGAAACTCAGAAAAACCGGTGGCGTACAATGACATTCACCATAAATATCGATACATCTACCCACTGTGACGTCATTGGAAATATTATTTCGAATCTATTCGCACCAAAAGAAGCCTCATATTACAACGATTTATTGAAATTGATAAAGAGACAACTGAGTAATGAAGAAAATAACGATTTTTCATGGAAATATTAATACACTGTATCTCGAAAACGAAGCAAGTTAGGACACATGTTTATATAAACTTTTTTCTCCTCAAATATCACTAGGAATCACCCCTTTTTCGGTATTATTCAGGTACATCCTGAATATCTATCTATGACGAGGCTATCCTCACATTTTTCGGCGTTTTATACGATTCTGAAGAATCAAAAACAAAATCATCAATTGAAAATACACGATCGATCATTTTATACTGATTTGAGATTTTGATGGAAATTTCTTCAATAAATCTCATCCAAAATACATTACTCATGATAATATGATATCAACTTGTGATACGGCATCATTCAATGAGGCGTAAAATATATAGTTATTTCACTTGAAATAATAATTTTGCAATCTGCAATCTGTTGTTAATTTTTTTAAATCGGATGAAAACTGGCATTAAGTACAGTGCTTTCGTGAAGTATATAAGTATACTGAATAAATTGATTCTCAGGCAATAACTCCATTTCTGAGAATTCTCCCGAAAAAAGTTTTTTTTTCCAATTTATCAAATGTTCAAGGGCTAATTAAAGATACTGAGTGATCCACGTTGGAGTTATGACATCCGCGACGATTTTTGTAAATGAAACACCCTATGAATTATAAAATCGTTGAAATATCCATGGAAAACTGAAATCAAAAATATATCATGGAATGTATACAGTATGGGGTTTCTACACGAATCATTCTGAATTGATTGAATTTGGAAAAATCGGCAAATAAAAATAAGATTCTGCATTGTGCGTTATTCCCAAACAGTAGGTATTGAGTAAATAGGTAGGTACGTTTCCACTACCATACGAAAGTACTGAACATAACATAACATGAGAAAAAAGCAAATAAACTTTAAATAAATATGTATCCTATCCTTTTGAGATACAGAATGTTGAAGTTGGAACTATTAATTGTTTTTATTTATAACCCCCCTGTATAAGCTTTCATGGTGCCAAAATTCACTATGGCTGAAGAATGAGGAAGCCCTCCAATATCAAAATGATTGTAATTGGGGTTATTGGGTAATCTCAATGGAAGTCTTGAAAACACCTACATTAAAATTAGGAGTCAAATCGAATTTTTATTGTTTCCTCAAAAGCTAAGCTGGATACTAAAATCACACAAAGGATAAAAAAGTTGTTATTTCAATAGTTCAATCTAATAAAAATATGAAACTCTGAAAAACCGGCGGCGAACACCATAAATAACGATAAATTTACCCACTGTGACGCCACTGGAAATATTATTTCGAATCTACTTGCACCAGTAGAAGCTCCATATTACTATTAACAAAACCACAACGTTTTATTGAAATTGATGAAAATACAATTGAGTAATGAATAAAAAACGATTTTTCATGGAAATATTAATACCCTGTATTTCGAAAACGAAGCAAGTTAAGACACATATTCATATGAATTTTATCTCCTAAAATATCACAAAGAATCACTCCTTGATTTTTGTCGGTGCTATTTAGATATGTGATATTTTTTAATTCATCTTTCCATGGAGATTTCAAAAAATTTATTAATATAGAGAGTGTTCGATTTGAAAATATTATCGCCGACGTAATCCAAAAATGAATAGTTTGGCTGAAAACGAGGCACTGTTTATATATTAAGTAAACTTCAGCCACCGTTTATATCATCGAACTTATGATAAGTAAGTTTATTGACTGATGATGATCCTGGTATGTATGATATTGAATGGATTGTTGAGATTGAATTCAGTACAGTCAGAGGAATATAAATCAAAATGAAGTTTCCAATAATTCAGATACAATCTATCCTTTCCATGAAGTGTCTTTTTCAAATAATATCCATACAATCAATAATATCAAAATATTTTATTTTAACAAAAATAAATACATTTGTCTTGTGAAATAAATCGTATAAAATACTATGTATAATATGTACACCTACAGACATAACTATAAACTATAAGAACATTTGGTAACTGTTATATTGGAATACGAAACCATTTTTCAACAGTAACTCGAAATGGGAGATGCTCCCGTACTTAAAATTAAAAAAAATAGACCATAAACGGTTTTTACATCTATCATCGAATCAGAAAAAAACACAACAGCTGCGCGTAGATGTTTCTCATAATATCATATTTACACTCTTTATGATTCTTAACGAAATGGTTTTGTAATGTGATCCTCATAAGAGATCACCGATGAACAAAAAAACATATACCCCCATTGAGTTATAAAAAGTGAGAAAATATTTAATAGGTATAAAACAATCAAAATGGTGATAATTAAAAGAAGTCAACGTATAGAGGTATGAATCGAAAACAATGAAATAATGTTCAATAGAACATTTGTTGCCAAAACTTCATGATAACTCACTTCACTTCATTTACTGATTGTAATCTTTAGAAAAAAAACTGCAAGCAAGCTACCAATACCATTCATTTTGAAATTCTAATTTCAAATTCCAAGTGACTCCCATAGATGAAGATATCAACAGAAGTTATATTAATCACTGACATATTTACTATTTCATGAATATTTCCCAGCAAATCTCATGAAACATTTCCATTACTAGCCTACCTTATATATCTATAATCACAAAAATCTAAGCCTAACCCCAATTATTCATAGAGGAACTAATTAGTATTGCATCGACCAGCGCTTGTAAATAATACTTAAAACGAACCAAATAACTATACAATCACAACTGAGTGTTCCAGTCACCCTCCATCCTCCACATACTAAAAGCTCTAGATAGCTTCTCGTGTGCCGTATACGAACAAACATTCCCCAAAACGTCACTCTCACCAGGATTTTCCGGGGTAGACGTAGACAGCACGTTGTACAAAAAGTCAATATACCGCGCCGCCAACTTCAAAGTTTGTATCTTCGATAACTTATCCGACGGTAGAGTAGGAATGCTCTTCCTCAAACTAGCGAAAGCTTCATTCAAGCTCTGCGTCCTTTGTCTTTCTCTTACGTTAGCCATCACTCTTTGTGTTTGCAAGTCCTCGAAGCTTTGGGGCGATTTCCTCCTGGATTTGGCCTTGGAGAACGAGTTTTCGTCGTCTGACTCCACGCTTTTGCGTTTCCTCCCGATGGTCCTGGACTTCAATACACTGGATTCATCTATCGGTTCCACTTTGATGAAGGACTCTGTGTAGCTAAAATCCTGTTGGTCATCTTGGTAGCTAGGAGAAGGCAGTCGCCTGTCATCGTATTCTTCGTAGTACCTCAAGTTGTCATTCTGGTATATTTTTCCTTCGTTTTGTTGGTGGTAGGAATAGACATTGAAGGCACTGTGGGCATCGTGATGTGGTAAAGTGGTCGGTAGGTATTTTTCGTTTGAATTGGTCAAGTCCATGAGCCTGGTTTGACCATAGTCCTCGAAGCCCGGCGAAGAGTTTGGAGTCAACTGGCGGTACACTGGTGAGGGAGTCTCACTGCGCGTTTCGTACATGTTTCTCTATAACATAAAACAGTCACCACCAAGTTTGTCACTCAACACTAATGCACTTAAAGTTGTGTCTGATCTCGACAGAGATGTTCTACTGTGTAATTTCCCATATTCCACCCAAAACTTAAGACGGCTTAGCCACCCGCTCGACCAATGGGAGTTGAGGCACGTCCCTACCCGGGAGATGTCTCCTTCGCTGTCTCCTTTTAATCTTTGGCATCCCGTTCTCTGTCTTTGTCGTTGATTTGCATAGAGTGTCTTCCCAACGGCGTGCTTTATCTTGTGTTGTCTCTGTTTATTCCAGGGCTGGGTTAAGGCACTGCTTAGAGCGGGATTTCCGCTCACATCTTTCTTCTGCAATTATCATAATAAGTTTTACTATACAGTTCATACATTTGAAGAATAGTTGCTGAAAATCTCTGAAACTGCCAAAACATCTGATTCTCTGTTAGTTTCACACAATTAGATTATCATGAGAGTAATTGAATAAGTTATTATTGTAATCTCCAGAAAATAGGAGCTAGTTGTTTTTCAAAGATCATCTGAGGTGCTATAGAAGAGAATCAATCACTCACACTATATGTTTGTATGGAACCAAGTTAGATATTCTAATGACACATTGATATCTTTGTTTTTCCTGGAAAGGTTTTTCAACAATAGCATTCGACTTTTGAATTTGTTTTATTGATTGAAAAAAAAAAGGATCGAGTTTCTTCATATACTTACACACCTGAAATTCGTTAGATATTATAGGGTGTAACATGAGTATGTTAAAATATTCAAATGACGTATTCCTGAGAAATTTTTGGAAAAGAAGTAGATATAGACATGTTTGTGGAGATGCTTCTCGTTTCGGGGATATAAGGTGTGGAAATTGAATTGTTTCCTTTGGTTTCTCAATTTCTTTAGCGAAAAATAATTTTTTTCTATGAAATTTGGTACCCGGGGTTTCGAAATTCAGTATTAATTTCTATGTAGCATTTGGAGAGCGCTGCCTACGCTATCATTTCTCATTTTAGATTTTCCCTTACTTTTTCGACAGTGAATGTTGGCACTTTTCATGAAAAAACCGTATTCCAACATCTTTTGAAAAGTTACGCATCCTTCAACAACGCTGGAGGAGTGATCGTTTATAGATATCAACAAATTTCTATGTCGATGCACCTTGCTATTAGCTGCTAGTGTGTGGTAGATCTAGTCGAAATACACAACTTTTTTTTCGCAAAATATTGATTTTTGACCCAAAGACCATTCACTCAGGGGCGTCCGCAAGCAGGGGGGGCGCTCACTCCCCCCCCCCCTAGCGCCTAGTACTTACTCAGATACTTTCTCAACAAAACCATTTGAATTATTCAAGCCCTATTCTGATTCGCTTATTGTAGTGACTTTGTTTAATGAGTATTCATCGACATCTTATCAAAATAGTGATAGAGTTAATTTTATCAACGAAATAATTGATAAATTTGCTCAAGACTCTTCAAGACTGCTATTTTTGTTCAGACAAGTTTATGAATATTATCACGTGCAATTTATAATTGTAATTTTGTCTGTTATCAGAATGTCATGTCAATTCTACGAAAGCGTCTAGGGGTCACACAATTATAATACTTTTTTTCATAAATCCAATATATTGGAAAAAAATCCAATATATTGAAAAAAAAAATCAATATATTGGAAAATGAATCCAATATATACAGTATGATGCAAATGTATGGAATAAATTCATTTCAAAACAAGACGACTTCCGAAAAAAATCCAAAAAGTAGAGTTCAGAACTTTTTCATCGATGTATTTTTTCAACTAGACGATCCTTCGATGTTCAAAGAAGATCTCTGCAAGATTCAGTTAATCAAATGATAATCCATTTCAATTTCAATCTTCTTTTGCAAAATGTTGACTATTGGATAGACGATCAGTAGACCTTTCAAACGAGGTGTCACATGACCCCTGTTTGTATTTAAGAAAACCGTCGATTACGGTCATTACTCCAACACCGGTGACGTAACATCTGTCATATGAATGTCATGAGATGAGGTTTCAAAAATTAAAACTCACGTGTTTTTGGAATTTCTTCAAATGTCGCCCATTTCTGAAATAATGAATTTATTCCATACATTTGCATCATACTGTATATTAGAAATATTTTCAATATATTGATTTTTTTCCAAAATATTGAATTTTTTTTTATTATATTGAATTTTTTTCCAACATATTGGATTCTATTTTCAATATATTGGATTTTTTTTTCAATATATTAGGAATATTTTCAATATATTGGATTTTCTTCCAATATATCGAATTTTTTTTCAATATACCGGGTGTCCCATTTTAATCTTTATTTGGAAATTTCTCGAAATGTATGCATCTGACAAAAAAAATTGACGAATAAAAGTTGTACAGTTTGAAGGGGGACGTCTGGTTATAAAACAAGTTTCACCCCCTGACCCCCAGGGGAGTAAGAAATGGAGGTAACATTGAAATCTTTAATGGATACCCCTATTTTTTATTGCAGATTCTGGAAGAGCATTGAAAACTATGAAGCTTTTATTCGGGAACTTTTTTTTTATTTTCACAAGATGGCGCTGCGATCGTAAAAAACAATATTTCACTTTTTACACATTTCAACCCCCTGAAGACGAGGAAGAGTGTAGGGTGTGATATTTTCCCAGACAAACGCCATTGGGGTGATATTCACACGACAAATTAACGCTAAACGAACTTACTTACCTTGACACCTCTACATAGAAAAGAGAAAAATAAGCATGTTTCAGCAATTAAGGTATCATTTAGGTCAGACTAGAGCTGGTTTTAAGTGAGATTGACTACTTTGTCAAGTGTTCGAAATGACCTCCATTTTCTTGAATACACAAGTTCAATCGTTTTTCAAATTTCCGCATTGTCGCTTCCAACATAGCAGGCGTTATCTTTCATATTCTCGCGTGTGGTTGGGGGTTCGCGAAACACAATGTTTTTGATGTAACCCCACAGAAAGAAGTCTGGGGAAGTCAAGTCGGGTGATCTGGGTGGCCAACTACAAACTAAATAGTAAAACATTGTTTTCCAAGATCGCAGCGCCATCTTGTGAAGATAAAAAAAAAGTTCCTGAATAAAAGCTTCATAGTTTTTAATGCTCTTCCAGAATCAGCAATGAAAAATAGGGGTTTCCATTAAAGATTTCAATGTTACCTCCATTTCCCACTCCCCTGGGGGTCAGGGGGTGAAACTTGTTTTATAATCAGACGTCCCCCTCCAAACCATACAACTTTTATTCGGCAATTTTTTTTGTCAGATGCATACATTTCGAGAAATTTCCAAATAAAGATTAAAATGGGACACCCGGTATATTGGATTTTTTTTCCAATATATTGGATTTATTTTTAAAAAATCATTATAATTGTGTGACCCCTAGACGCTTTCGTACAATTCAATTCATTAGGTTTTTTTGTTTCCATGTTTTATACAGAATAATAGTAGACTTAGATGATACAACGAGGGAGTAAAGTGTATGATTATTCCCGAGGTGAAGGAACAAAAACTTACTTCCGATGTGTACCTATAAATAGTAGATATATTGCACGACACAAAGATTTTAATTGCAAGAATCTTATAATAAAATCAATTATTGTCAAAATGACATTCATAATTCACGAAAATAAAAATCTGGAAACAAAATAAAGTTTGATATCATAATGAATGATAAATAAGAGTAGCCATATTGCTTTTTGTGAACATCTAAAAAGTGTGCTCTCATTTTCTAAACTGTTCTCCTAAAAGTTGCTGTTGCAAACACTGTGTTGAATATATTGCCAGTAAAATCCCGGAATTATTTTTAGTCTAGGGAGTACACTCTGTGCCTTGTACTCCCGCTTTTGGGGGTGTAAATTCGCTTATTATATATAGGTCGTGCAAAATCTGATGTTTTTTATATGTACTGAATATTGTACAGGATAAGCCTCTTAAAATGGAACTCCCCTCTCTTTTGTTTTCAGAGATATGACAAAATGTTGAATAAAAAAGTTCTTTGGAACGACCCAATATCTCATTTTGTGAAATTGTTTAATATACAGGGTCATTCATTTTTCCCGAAAGCACATGAACTTTGAACCCTATATATTTTCCGAAAAGTCGAAAGAGCGTTTCTTCTGAATTCTAAGATAAATATGAGTTGCATATTTGGATGAAAAATAGTTGAGTTATCTGGCTCGGCGTTTTGATAAAAAATTCGTCATTTTGTCCATTCGGCGGTTTGTTTATTCGGCGCTTTTTCCATTCGGCAATGTATCCGTGTCTCACTCGCTGCGCCCAGTCTCGACACACTTATTGTCATACCTTAAAACAATTGAAAAAATATGATATGAGATGGAATGAGTTTTTCTTCAACCCTTCATTGAAATAGTGTAGACCTATTGTTCACGCAGGAACCCGTATACAGTATCATATCACTCAAGGTTTATATTTTTGTCTCGATATATTTCGAGAAATATTACTCGCGATTTCAAAGAAACGAAGGAACGCTCAAAGTTGGTTTGTCGCTGTTAAACTTAGGAAAAATTTCTTCGCTTTCATAATGACGAAATCATGATGAGTTGATTTTGTCACTTAAAATTATAAGAAAGTTTTTTTTTTGTACAAAACATCACATTTTACGTTCTAATATTCGAATGGAAAACCGGATAAACATTTTTTATCTGTACGCATCTGTACTAAACTCGCATAGTTTTCGGAAAACATTGATTTCAAGGGTTTTCATATTTTTTTCATTAATTATTACTCAAACAACTTTTGTTTTTCCTGAGGGTGGAATAATTGATATCTATTAAATGATCCGAAATTTACTTCAATAGGAATCTATTAATGGCTATTCATACCAAACAGGGTGGAAATTATGGAAAGTGAAATTGGATTTCAGTGAAAAGTGTACTTTTCTTCATGACAACAGTCCTGGAAACAGCTGAATTACTACAGTAAGAAGATCATGCAACTATCTATATGCTCATGAACCT